AGTATGTAAGCGGATTTAGGGTATTTTATATTGATAAGGACCCAAAAATAGGGGTCGAAACGTTTATTTATTAAAATTGTGATATGACTTGTTTAATTATACGAAAATAAATTGTACATCCGACTAACAGATGATTGGCTTTGATGGACTTGCTTATTATTATTATTCTAAATAAGTGGCTTAATTAAAACAATTTTTTTATTGGGTAGATATTTAGCTTTTAACATGTCCTGATTATATAGGCATAATTTCTTCCAACTCTGGGTTACTTTTAAAAATTATTTGCAGAACTCTGTTCTTGAATTTGAAATAATATATAATGTGATATATCCTAATTGTAGTAATATAAATTATCTTGATGTAAAGAAATACATAAAGAGATTACCTCAATTGTTTTTCAGTTTTCAATTGAATCTCCATTGCTCTAGATTTTTCCACGTCAGTCATTATTTCTATCGTCGCTTTTTCTTCACTTTATTCGCGGTTATACATGTCAAGCATAATAGTAGTGTGCATCAAAGATCTGCTAAGAGAAGAATTTAAAAGGAGGTAGAATTTGACAGCTTGTCAACGCTTGTTTACCAATTAACATTTTTTTCTCCGATATAGCATGTTTTTCAGTTAGGGCAGACAACATTACATCGTGTTTCACTGATCCCTTTTACATCGAGCATTTGACACGTGAACTAATTAGTAACTTTCTATTAAATTACCTTGATTTCAGCACTGTATTTAAAGAACGATGTACACTAAATTGGATAATTATACAGTTTAACTACACATCCCAAAAATCAATAAATTCGATTTATTCGACGCGTTTTCGTATGAAACGAAAGAATCTTGCAGAAATAAGCGTCGTTGTGCCTCGAGAACCGAAATATTAAGCGTGGAAGTTGACGACCATTGAGGTTAGAAAATCTGTCACAGCTACGAAATATCGCGACACGGCGTATATTCAGTACGTGATTATTTTCATCAGGGTATGGACACTCGCTCTTGGAAAAAATCAACTCCTACTTCAGCAGAAATGCTGAAATTTATAATTCCCAAAATTCTGTCTATTTGCCCAGATGATGCAGTAATAGGGCTTGACTTTTCATAGCAGAGTGTCCATACCCTGGTTTACACGCAGTCGGCGCAATCGCTCTCCGCATGATCATCAGTGAACATTCACTTACCGACGCTTGTGTAGGTAAGTAGCCATTCTTCTTCTTCACATAATTATAATTCTTGTTGGAACATATTTGCGATTAATACTATACCAGAGATAATACGAGAAGTCGTACTATAGATTTCAAAAACTTATTTAAAGTATTAAATAAGGAATAAGTTATTACAAAAAGCCACATTTCAGGAATTCCTGTCCTATATTTGTCCAATTTTTTAAAGGTTAACAAATAAATTTCTTACATTACATATCGGCTTTGAATCGTGAAAACTCTGCTTTTTTGCACGTGACGATACAAAGTAGAGTTCTTATTGGATATATCGCTGCTCGTCGCTCATTTCTCATCGCGTCCAATGTGCAATAAGCATTAATATACGCGGGTATGCTTGCCAATTAAATATTTTAAGAAATTGTAAGAAGGTCATCTATTGCACAATGAAAGTATCGTTTAAAATCAACTTGGTTTTAACAGTAAGTTATATAAAATGCAATAAAACACGAGCAAAAATATTTTAAATATTCATTTTATTTTCAAAATAATTCTTTGTACAATTTTCCATGTCAGTATATTTCGATTTTCGATGTATTAATGTTAAGAATGTATGGGTGATATTTCAACATAATAACAAAAAATTACAGATTATTCTAAATCACGTTTAAAAATAATACGACAAATTTGATGACGGCTTACTATCTGGATTATAAATTATTTTAATAAATAATAGTATTTTTTTAATATGTGTTCTAATAAAAATGTATAGAAATATGTATTTTTTATAAAATAAATGATAAAATCTTAATTTTGTAATATAAATACATAATATATTTAAGATTATGTAAAGTTATATATATATATATTGCGATGCATGAACTGTTGTCCAGTAAATAAGCAAAATATTTATTTGTTCTATATCTTTGTAACTAATCAGTGAATCGCAATGAAACTTTGCACAAGTTATTTTGAATATTTAAAATACTTATAAAAAAATTTAGATTTTTGTTATCATTTAAAAAATTTTAGTTTATAATAATAAAAATAATAACAAATAAAATACATAAATTATAGAAATGTATTGTTCAATAAAATCGAAATGTTTTGAACACAACTTATATATGTATATATCTAGTTTGTTTAAAGTATAAATATTAATACATTTGTAAAAATGACGCCCATACATCCTTAAATCCACTACTTCTAGACTTGCTTGGAAAATAGATAAAGGAAAAGAGGCTAAATAAAAAAATATTGTAAGGAATGTTAAGTTGTAATATGATATAGCAAAATCTTTAAAGCACTCTCCTACAAAATTGATTTTCAATATTTATGCGCCTTTTTCTTAAGAAAAATCTAATTTTTTCGTAATTTTTTAAATTAAGAAGTCAAAATATTGTGTCTCGCATCAAGTCACGTACAGTAAATAGCAAAATATGTTATGTATTTATGCGCAGAGTTTTTAACTAAAAGTACCTCAGATTTCAGTAAGAATTGGATTAGTAATCGATTTTCAAGTAAACTTAAGGGCGATAATACATTTACGAAATTGTAGAATAAAACTATTTATAGTTATATTCTTTTTTTCTCATCACTGGATCGACACATTATTAAATCATTTCTTTAAATTATTTTTCTTATGTGATTATTTGCACATTTTGGTCGACATTTTTTTCCTAGATAAACTGATTTGAAGAATTAATTTTTTTTTGTAATTTTTTACTTAACACTTAACAAAATTATAATTTTTTATGTGATCAAATGATCAAATTACAATGTGCTTATATTTAGAGGATTAAATATATAAGTATGAATAATATATAAATACAGTATAAGTACAATATACAAATAAGTACAATTGCGGGCCTACGCACATGAATTTTGTGATGTCGATAATCAAACTTGACAGTTTATAACTCAAAACTGTTGTGACCTCAATTTTTTTACTATAATTTTAAAGTCTATAATTTCATACACTATTAAAATATTATTTAATAACCGTAAGACATATGTACAAACATATATTAATCAGAATAAAAGATCTATAAAATGTGAGAAAGGCACGCTATTAAGAAAATAAAAGATGTTACTGATTGTAACAAACTAAATGTGAGAAAAATTATGCACTTGTGCACATAAATAAAATAATAAACCTTTGGAATAGATATCATAGCTATAATATTAAGAAAATGATAAAAACAATAATAAAAATTTTAGTTAAAAGAAGATGAATTGTTTCATAATCTTGATATCAACAATATTTCATAATTAATTAGAAATATATATATATATATATATATATGTGTGTATATATATATATATATATACTATATACAGAGTGTCCCAGATTTTTCGTATCACCAGTGTTATTAATTAATATTTTTATCTTAAATTTATTTCAAAAATTTGCCTTCTGGGACATTCTATATATAGTATAGTGTATATTATTCGAAATGTTTCCAATTACTTACGACTTTATTTTTGGCTGTTTTAACAAACGGATTAATTGTATTGTTTAAGTCGTATTTTTTTAAGGCACGCGGTAAGGCAAGAGATATTATTAGTAAAATATCAAAATTGTCGGTACAATTGAAAGTTCCAATACGTAGTATGGAGCCTTTCGTGCATATTAACAGTTAAAATTATTTAACAATATTAAAAAAGACTTTGTATTTACATATGAAGATTTTGCTGATAACCTTCAATTTCATTGTACATTTTCCTGACAGGATCTTTTGGCAAATAGTTGTGCATCGCCGGTGCGATTTTATTGTTGCCGGATATATTGCCGTTGGCTAAATGCGCTACACCATTTTGTAGCATATGTGTTGTTCCTTTTGCGATGCCATTCTGATGAATATGACCATTCTGTTGAATATGCTTCATATTGTTTAATACACCATTAGAGATAGTACCCACTCCTAAGAAGGCAATAAATATTAAAATACTTTACTAGTAATAAAAAATACGCTGCACTTCTCAATTATTCTTAATTTATCGTTAATCACTAATTCAAGATTACAATCTAAAAATACACCTTAAGAATGAAAAAACAAAAAATTCTAGAAAAAATATATACTCATTCAGTACTTCTGAAAAATTTTTCAATTCGTATAAAAATCAGAAATTTTTTTTTAAAAAGGGAAAAGAGAAGAGAGTTACAAAAATATACAAAAATTCTTTGAAATGTTTTAATTTATATAGAAATACTAAAAAATTATATAAACAGTTTTAAGAAAAATTTTCATCGGAGTCGCAATGTTAAATAAATGCAATAAAATTGCTTACCTTGAGCAACAATTCCGTTTTTCGCATCGGCTATTTTTCCAATATGATTAGATATGCCGTTGACTACTAGTTTGGCATTGCCGTTAGGTACGGCACGTTCATTTTGGTATTCATTCGAGGTATTTATCCCGTTTTGGTGTTTCTTGATAGGCGAATCCGGATCGTATAGAGTTTCTTCTCCTTTGCGACGTGCTCGACGCATTAGTTGATATAACGCAGCAGCAAAATCCTGCTGGACAGTAGGTACATCTGTATCACCGTCCACCTATTTAAAAAAATAATAATTAATTATTATTTGTAAAAGAATAAGTAAATCATATTTTCAAAAGATAGAACTGTTTCATAAAGATATAATTGTTTCCATTATTGCAGTCTTACTTCTATGGCCCTTAGAAAAAAAATGGTTAACTTATAATCTTAATAAGTGCAATTGTTTATTTGCGCTTATTTGCTTAGTCCAGATATTTACATTAATACAACAAAATTTACAATTTATTTCAACATTGTAGCACGTTTTATCATAACTCAATTATTTATTACGTACAATTATTAATCGATTATCGCTGTCCAGCGTTTTCAACATGGGAAGAGACACTTCACGAAAAAGTTCCAATCTTTTTCTAAATGCTGAAACACTGTCGTCCAGTCTTCCTCTCCCGAGTTGCAATTTGGAGCAGTCAAGCAGTACTAGTGGTGGCTCCTGTCCAAACTATTAATAAATAATATAATGCAAATAATTAATAATTTATTAATACTAAGCGATGTATCGAATAGAAAGTTATAAAATCAAATTGATGACAAGTATAATTCGCGATTTTGAACTACTCACTTAAAAAAAATCGGTTCACTAAATTTTTGCACAATTTCGTAAAATTTTTTTCAATAGGAATAATTTATTAAAAAATCATTATATTAAAATAAATCAAAGCTCAAATTAAAGCTACATTCCTCTGAACAATCAAATATCAAAATTGAGTTGAAGACGATATTACAAAACGGAAATTTTTTTGTAAAACTGTAACTTGGAAACAAATGATCGCAAAAAAACTTTATTAAAAGAGAAATTAAGTTAGAAATTTTAATATCAAATCTACCATAGCCCGTTAAATAACCGTTTTTCTACTTTTTGTTAAAAATTCTGCATTTAATGTTATCGCTTTCGTCATTCGATTTCACGATTTTTCCTATAATATAATTAGTTTTTCAATATCTATCTCTTTTCTTGTTCCGTTTCTTCTGAGAAATATATGTAGCCCACCTTATGGATTGCGATCAGTCACTTAACCAATTAAAAATTTATGTTTTTTTATACGTTCCGAAGTATTTATATTCAGAACGTGTTTATAATCGGCTTATGTAAAACGTGACAATCGATGGGGATACGTGACAAGAGTGTGTGAAAGCATTTCTTCATTTTCAAAATCTACTTTCAATATCTGCATTTATAAACAATATTTGTAAGCAACATTTTGTAAAATTTTTTTGTAATTAAATTTTGATTTTCAAGAAGAATGTTTAAGATTTAATTAAGCTTTTTTATTTATCTCAAAATAATGAGTTTTTGCTAAGTTTATTCGAAGACATAAAAAATGAATGAGTGTATAAATGCAATGCAAGCAATTTTATTTACCTTCGTCTGAAATTC